AACAGTGCCCCCCACCCCAACCCTTCCAACCGGTGCAGCATGATATCATGATCGATGGTATCAAAAGCCGCTGAGAGGTCTAGTAGGACCAGGACAGAGGAGCAACCCCTGTCCCGAGCCCTCCAGAGATCATCAACCAATGCGACCAATGCTGTCTCTGTGCTGTACCCGGGCCTGAATCCCGACTGGAACGGATCTAGATAATTCGATTCATCCAGGTACTGAGGCAGTTGTCGTGCAACCACACTCTCAACAACCTTTGCAATAAAGCGAAGGTTGGAGACAGGACGATAATTTGCTAATACAGCTGGATCCAGGGAGGGCTTCTTGAGGAGGGGCCTCACCACCGCCTCTTTCAAGACGGTGGGAAAGACACCCTCACTCAAAGAAGCATTTATAATCTCCTGGAGCCAGCCTCGCGTCACCTCCCGGGAGGCCAGTACCAACCAGGATGGACACGGGTCCAATAAACATGTGGTAGCATTTAGTCTGTTCAGTATCCTGTCCACGCTTTCGGGAGTCACAGGATCAAACTCTTCCCAAATAATATTCTCAGGACCTGCCCCTGTCATCTCCTCTGGATCAATCCAGTCAGAGTCTAGCTGTTCACGAATCTGAGCAATTTTGTCATACAGATATTGTACAAAATCCTCAGCTCTACCCTCCAAGGGGTCTTCCCGCGTCTCTTGATGGAGCAGAGAGCGGGTCACCCTAAACAGGGCGGCTGGGCGATTATCTGATGACGCAATAAGAGTAGAAAAGTAGTTACTCTTCTCTACTCTTATCGCCACTAGGTAATTCTTAATATGAGATCTTACCAGTGTTCGGTCGGATTCAGAACGACTAGCCCTCCAGCTGCTCTCTAGGCGTCTTTTCCGGCGCTTCATCTCCCTCAGCTCCTCAGTATACCAAGGAGCCAGGTGAGACCGGCGCCGGGTCAGAGGCCGCAAAGGCACGACTCGGTCTAAAGCATCAGCCGCCGCCCTATCCCAGGCGGCCACTAAATCCTCAGCCGAGTCATGTGCTAGAACCTCAGGAAATGGCCCAAGCTCCATCTGGAATCTCTCAGGATCCATCAGGCGCCTGGGGCGGAACCACCTGGTCGGTTCTGTCTCCCTGCGGCGGGGTGTGGCGGTTCGAAGGTCCAGGCGAAGGAGGGAGTGATCCGACCATGACAAGGGTTCAATCACTATATCCCCTATCTCGAGATCACTCAACCACTGTCCAGAGACAAAAACAAGGTCCAGTGTGTGTCCCCCCATGTGAGTAGAGCCATAAATTAACTGGGTCAGGTCCATAGCCGTCATGGAAGCCATGAACTCCCGAGCCACCTCAGATGTCTCGCCAACTGATGACAGGTTAAAATCCCCCATGACCATAAACCTGGGGGTGTCAACAGCCACCGCGGCTATAACATCAAGCAGCTCAGGCAGGGCTGCTGCCACATGGCAGGGAGCCAGGTACGTGACTAGCAAGCCCAACTGCACCCTATGACCCCACTTCACAAGAAGGGACTCACATCCAGCCGTCTGAGGAACAGTGGCCTCCCTTGGTCCAAGACCTTCGTTAATAACAACCGCCACCCTCCGCCCCTCCCCTGAGACCTTGGCTGATGGAAAGCACGGAAACCTATAATGTGGTTGTCTTCCGCTTAGGTTCCTGACACTTCAGTCACTGATCAATTCTATTTGTCCCAATTAAACTCAGAATTTAGTTAAACTTAATCCTTGTTTATTCCTTCCATTTTCTGAAAATTAATTTGGTATCAAGAAAGATCAGAAACCTGCTGAATCTTTCTTTTTTAACCAGTTAAATTCCCCAACTGATATCAAGGTAGTTCGTTATCACAATAACTCTCTTCTTGAGAACTTAATGAGTTGATTTAAAAAGGCATAGCCATATTTTCTCTCTGGGTAAGTGACTTTCAATTAACTTATCAAATTATACCACTCGTTTTGTACTCTTTTTTATTCTGTTTTGTTGAAAACAACCAGATGTTTTCAACAAAATGTATATATTCATGATTCCCCAATCCATCCATTGGCATCTGACTTTTTTTAAAAAAATTAAATAGCCAGTTTTATTTCACTTTTAAAACTTATTTCTTGTAAAAAAAAATCACATGCAGTCATGTTCTTAATGTTTAGTAAATAATTTTTCTCAGCTTTTGAAAGATACAACCCATTACTGCTTATGAATCCTTTATATTGGGGAGTAAACTTTGAACTTGAAATCCAAAGAGTTGTTGATAATACTAATTTATTATAACACTAACTGCCAGGAATCTATTTTATCTTCAACAGAATATAGATGAAAACATCATTTTTGCCCCTGCTCTCTTTTCCTTTATAGAATCACTCAGAATTCTTTAAATAATTTTTATTCTAGTGTTCAGTGGTTTCCATTAATAGGAATAGATAGTAATCAGTTTGACAAGACCAACTTTCTGCTATTTTATGAACCAGAAAGTCAGCACAGTTCTTAAAATAATTGTCTTCTGTACGTTTGTCAGTATGTGCGTATATGCATATACACACATGCATACATACATATATATATATATATATATGCATGTGTGTATATGCATATACGCACAAACATGTACAGAAGACAATTATTTTAAGAACTATACACACACACACACACACACACACACACACACACTGTGTTTCCCTGAAAATAAGACGTCCCGATAATAAGCCCAATTGGGCTTTCGCGCGCACGCGCTATAATAAGCCCCCCTTGAAAATAAGCCCTCCCCAAAAACCTTATACGCATGCGCAGCTGCTGTGCAAACAGCATGAGGTGAGGAGGCGAGGCAGGGGAGGCGAACAGTTGGGGAACATGCCCCATGTGCATCTGCCATCCACCTGGAACGGCTCCCGCAAATCATAGCTTGCGCCCCCCTTCTCTTAGTGGCGGCCGCAAAGAGCAGCCGCAAATAAACTATTGCCAGCCCTAGCCCTGTCAACCTGGGGGGAGGGGTACTAGCGCCGGAGCTCCGAGCAATGGCCAGTGTGGGCTGTCTGCGTGGCCAGTTCTTGCCTGCAGCATTGTCAGCGAGGATCAGGTCAGAGCCGCTGCTGCCCAAGATCAGCACCGCTGGGGGGAGGGAGGAAAGGGGAGCAGGAGAAGAAGCCCCAGCCCCCCCCCAGCAGTGTGTAACCTGAGAACCAGCACATTGGATTCTCTCTTTTAAACTATTCCCAGCCATCCTTTTGTTCTCTGTTTCGGCTCCAGGGGGGAAGAAAGGGGAGCAGAAGAAGCAGCGCTGGCTTGGATTGCAAAAGCTTGATTGCCTTCCTCTTGAAGAGCCTGCAAGGCAAACAGGAGATCTGGGGTTTGGGTGAGCAACAGAATTCTCGCTTCTCTGCCTCCCCACCCCTCCCCACCTGCCACCACCCCTCACGGGCCAAGATTGCCAAGCCTGATTCGGGGAGCTGAACATGCTGCTGCCGCTCAGGAGAAGAACATCAGAAATGGGCTCTCTCGCAGCGCCTCCTCTCTCTCTTCTCCCAAGTGGCAGCAATGTGTCCGGCTCACTGAATCTAGCCTGCTGATCTCGGGCAACAGCAGCAGCAGCTCTGACTTGATCCTCGCTGGCAATGCTGCAGGCAAGAACCGGCCACACAGATCCTGCTTCATGGCTGTGCAGACAGCCCACACCGGCCACTGCTCGGAGCTCCGGCACCAGAAGCCCTCCCTCCAGGTCGACAGGGCTAGGGCTGGCAAGAGTTTGTTTGCGGCCGCCACTAAGAGAAGGGGCACGCAAGCTATGATTTGTGGGAGCGGCCTCTGTGAGGCCATTCCGGGTGGATGGCAGATGCGCGCGGGACATGTTCCCCCACCGTTCGTCCCCCCGCCTTGCCTCACCTCGTGCTGTTTTCACGGGAAGCAAATTAAAAGCTGCCACGATTGCTCGAGGCAATGGCCTGAGCGGAACCGGCAAAACAGCCGGTTGGCGCTCGAGCATCAGTCCCCCTACAGCGGGCTATGTTTAGGGGCCTCCTGCACCTGAAAAATAATAAGACACCTCTCCCCAATAAGGCCAAGGCCATATTTCGGGGGTCAAAAGAAAATAAGCCCCTGTCTTATTTTCAGGGAAACACGGTATATATATCAGTGGTGGCGAACCTTTTATTCACCGAATGCCGAACAGGTCCGCCGTCTACGCATGCATGCACTGCATGCAAGTACTCTCATACACATGTGCAAATGCACACGCATGCATAGGAGTGCTCCGAAGACCAGCTGGGTTCCCTGAATTGCACACATATGCACCAGAGGCGCAAACACCAGAAGGGGCGTGCGCATATGCGCAGCTGCAGGTGAGTTGGGCGACACCTTGTGTGCCCAGAAAGATGGCTATGCGTGCTACCTCGGCCACATATTCCATAGGTTTGCCATCACCGGTATATTCCAAGTAAGTAAGCATGGTCTTCTGCTAAGAAGACAACTATAATAGATATATACCCAAGTCAGTATTGCTCCCTTAAGAACTGCTATGGTGGTTAGAATGCAGTACTGCAGGCTACTTCTGCTGATCACCGGCTGCCAGAAATTTGATAGTTCGGATCTCACCAGGCACATGGTTGACTCAGACTTCCATCCTTCCAAGTTCAGTAAAATGAGGACCCAGATTGTGGGGGGCAATATGCTGACTCTGTATTCCTTTTAGAGAGCTGTGAAGCACTGTAACCAGTATATAAGTCTAAGTGCTATTGCTATTACCATTTTTTCTTTTGGCAGGATCTGAGATTGATTTGATCCTTTTCCTATGAAGCTCCCTTGGGAAAATTCTATTTCTTTCCCATGCTTCCAACTGAGAAGTGAGGCAAAATAAATGACCATCACATATCTTCAGCCAGGAAAAAACAACAACACAAAATTCCCCACATCCCACCCGGCTTCTTAAATTGCTGATTGATATTGTGCTGCTTAATTCAATAGAACAGAACAATTCACATTTAATAGAAAAATCCTCTCTATAGAATTCCTACCATTGGTGGAGCTACTTGGTCCATTAACTTCAAAATCAGTTTTTGTGCCTGTTCTCGAACGTGGTCTTTGGCATCTCCCATTCGATCCATCAATGCTACGAGAACTAGGGGATAAAAATAAGACTAAATACATTATGTGATGAACAATCTTAATAAAATATTTTGAAATTCTATGTCAAAAGTTTATGTTTTACTTTGTTTTAACCATATTTTAATTAGCCAAGATTTCTTACTAAGACGTGTACAGATAATTCTCGACTTACGACCACAATTAAGCCCAACATTTCTGTTGCTAAGTGAGACATTTATTAAGTAAGCTTTGCCCCATTTTATGACCTTTCTTGCCACAGTTGTTAAATGAATCATTGCAGTTGTTAAGTTAGTAATAAGATTGTTAAGTGAATTTGGCTTCTCCATTGACTTTGCTTGTCCGAAGGTCACAAAAGGCAATCACATAATCCTGGGACACTGCAACAGTCAAACAGTTAAACTTTCTTCTCTGCGCTTCCACATGTAGCAGTATCATCCTCTGCCTTCTGCTTTGCTGGGAGAGGGCACCAACAGGGAAATGCCAGTGATGTCTGGGATTCGGAGAAGAATGTCTCTTTTGGTGTGCTGTGCACACACACACACACACACACACACACACACACACACACACACACACACATCATTTCAAGCTTGGAGACTTTTATCCATTTCTGAGCTTACAAACTGCTAATCATGCCTGGGCTTGGGGAGAAGTTCCTCTCCTTCCTCTGTGGATAAAAGTCCCCAAACGTGGAATGTGGGTTGTGTGTGCCCACACACACACCTTTGGCTGCCAGCAGTTTGGGGAGGTGAGAAGCTTGTGGGACATTGAATTGTCCCCCGTCGAGTTAGTCGGTGCGACTTGTTCCATCCCGAACCAGTTGTCCTGTATCAGTCATGTCCAGTAAGAGGCATCGAGCCGGCCACACCCACCCATCCACAGCGACCCAGCTGTGACCACTCAGCTATGCCTACCCAGATACACCCACCTGGCTGCTGTGAATCGTCATAGTCTGACATGCTACTGGTCCTTTGAAGGCAACTATAATGCTGATGCAGCCCTCAATGATATTGAGTTTGACATCCCTGATCTATGGTATCATTATAACTTACACGATATAAAGGAGTAAAACCCTAACTTTTCTCTCCCTCATCTGCTTTGCAATGTAAGCCTATGTATCTAACAAAATAATTAGGAAAGAAATATATTGCACATATTTCTAAGTTTATCTCAATGCATAGCCTGCTGGCTGGAACTCTGAGCCTTGAGCACCTTTCCTTTCTAATTATTTCAGTTGTCCTATAATTCCTTGATCGGAATATTCAAGGCAACTGATGGCATTAAAAACCAATTTTGTATATATATCCTCAATGTTTTTATTTTTAAATACATTTAAAAATATCTGGGAGAACATCTCATTTTCAGGCATGTAAATAATACTTTTTTATATTATTGGTACATTTTAGGTCTAAATAAAAAAATCTAAATGAAATTAGTGATATTTGCTACTTTCAATCTACTGATTTTATTTGTTATAGATACAAATGTTAAAACAATGTTTACCACCCTCTGCAAAATGATGACATAATTATTTTCAGAATACCATGCAATGTTTTATTTGAATGATCACATCCTTTGTGAGAAAATTTATGAATAATAACCATTACTACTTTTAATCTTAGTATTGAGAGAAAACATGTCAAAACATGACCATGTTAGTCAAAACATGACCATGTACCATCTATTTTTTTACAATAATACCACTAATTATTATTATAAATTAAATATCTGGATCAGATTCTAAAACATCAATAAGAAGTACTTTTAACAAAGTGAAGTACATGTAACTTCCTACTAGGCATTTTATCCTATTTTGCTTATAAACAATCATCTAAACTATACTTCATAAATATATTTTTAAACGTTTAAGGAAGTATTTCTCAAAAATCAAGGCATAGAAACTGCATGTGGCCCAACAATATGCCCAATTCTTCCTATATCAGTTAGTGATTCCATCTAATAATGTCAGCGTTCCAGCAAGTCTGCAACTCCAAGTAAAAACTCCGAAGCAGGCATTTCTCAAAGTTCCATTTATTGGAGAAGGTAAACTGGCACATCTGGGAAAACCCGAATCTGAGAGTTCCGGTTTTCCCTCAGTAAATCAAAACCCCAAATCCAGCCCCTGCACCCATCAGTCTGTCACATGGTCCTATCATCATCCGTCCCAACTTGAGCCATCCCTGCAACCACTCCTCCTCTAGGTGCATAAACACCATGACCTTGACCGAAAGGAAGTTAGACCTATTAGGTCTAACTACAATCACTCCTCTAAATCCCCCCTCCTACTTTCCCAAGCGCAAGAAGTTGGCAGCAGGGAAGCATCTGGTGCTAATAGGGCTTCCAAAGCTGACAAGTAACAATCAAATAAACTGCAGATATTTTTTCTCATCCATTCATTTGATTTTTTTATCATTTTAGCTGTCAAAAATGCAACTGTAGAATGATAGAGATTCAGATCTCAGGAGAAGCAATACTGAATTTACAGACCAGTGATATGGTAAACAGTTGAAGAGTTACAGTTAAATACAATTTTAACTGGTCCTCAACTCAGAAATCTTTAACACCTTTTTCAGACTAACACATTTTAATAAAAGGCATATGCCTTTCTGAGCTAAACTTATTTCATCAGCTGTACAACTAAACTGTAGACTAAATTGTAGACAAATCAATTAAAGATACATGATAGATTTTAATATGTTAATCCATTATGTTCACTGAGATCTTCTGAAATAGTTTGAAACTTTCTGATGTACTTCAGTAATTACTTGCCTGATTGTACTAGTAAAAATTTTTTCCAAAATGTTTACTTGCAATGGAGTACGAGAGAGGCTAAAATGCTCTTATATCTCTTGTCCTTGTTTCGAGAGGTTGATGGAAAAATTGTTGACAAATGTTTGTTCATTAATTATTTTGCACAAAAGTGTAGGGTTATTACAATGCTTATCTGTATGGTTTTTGGCACTGCAGTTACACGAAATTGCAAACATCAGCAATTCTCATCTTTGAGCAGTGTTTCTAGCATGTACAAGGACACAGGGTGAAACAATGTATAACCTGTAACATTTGCCGCTTTCAGTGTATCTTGTGTAGCTATCATTGTGTGTGAATACATGCATTTTCTCATGAAAACCAATGATGTAATTACTAACCAATTATTGTGATTGGTTAGAGATTTCTTAACCAATAATAAAGTAACACGCATAGTAGGTGAGAACTGAGAAACTTAGAAACTATATAAACTATGTCTGATGCTCAATAAGGTTGCTGTTGATTCTGCTGTTGATTTTACTCTTAATTCTGCTATCTGTGGATGTTTTCCTTTCACACATCTCACACATCTTCAGCCTCCGGGATACAAATGCAACATTTGGCGCCCGGAACAGGGACCCTATACTTCGTCCAGCAAGGACAGGCGCCGTCAGCCTTTGGGCTGCTTCTCAATCTTATCTCTTATAAGGTTTCTGTAAGTATGGGTTCTTCGCTTTCTCAAGGACAAAGGAAGCGTGTAGATGATTTACTTTATCTTCTTAAAAAGTCTGAACTTTCTGTTTCACAGAAGGCTCTTTATCGGCTGGTACGAGAAATTGCCTTAACTTGTTCATTCTATCCTGATAGGGGTTCTTTAAAATTGTCAGATTGGGAAAAAGTTGGCAAGGTTTTGCATTCTAAGATAAGTTTAGAGATAGATATTTTGCATGCTTGGCATCTATGTAGACATGCTATAGAAATGTTTGATCGGAAGGAAGAGGAGCTTTCTTCTCCTTTAACACCTCCTTCTGACACTCTGCCTGAAAAGGAAGCTTTGATTTCTGACTCTAAAGCTGAAGTTTCTAAATCTGACACTCTTCAATCTCCTACAACTGTGAAATATCTTCCGCTGCCTGAAAAGGAAGTTTTAACTTCTGATTCTAAAGCTGAAGTTTCTAAATCTGAAGTATTTCCTTCTGTTCGTTCTGACACTGAAATACCTTCTGCTCCTACTGACACTGAAATACCTTCTGCTCCTACAGATATTGAACAAAAGATTTTGAAGCCTCTTTCTGAGATTTTAAAGCCTCTTTCTGAGATTTTAAAGCCTCCTTCTGATTCTTCTGTTCCTTCTGCTATTGAACAAAAGATTTTAAAATCTCCTTCTGTCTCTTCTGACATTGAACAGAAATCTTCTAACATTGAACTGAAACCTCCTCCTTCTAATATTGTTCTAAAATCTTCTTTTCAAAAGATGGTTGACAATTGTAAGGCAGACTTTGCTATTTCTGGGGAAGAGTTAGCTGAACTGTTCTCAGTATGTCCAGTGCAATATCAACCAGGACCACAAGCTGGACAACAGATTGCAGAATGGGAAGGTTTGCCATTTCAAATTTTACGAGAGTTGAAGAAGGCTATTTCTGCTTATGGAATTACATAAATCTTCTCCCCCTTCCTCCTCCTCCCTCTCTTGTGCATCCTCAGCCACAACAGGTAGTGCTGGGATCAATCTAATTACTCAAGAAGACTTGGATTTTAAATTTCCTTTAGAAGTTAAACTTGTTTCTTCTCAATACACTGGTCCTCTCCCTTCTGGATTAGTTGGTATTATTTTACTTCGCTCTTCTGCTCATAAATTAGGATGTTTTGTAGTTCCAGGAGTTATTGATTCTGATTACACTGGAGTCATCCTTATGCAAATTTGGGTTAATATTCCACAATTTCTTCCTAAAGGATCTTCTGTTGCACAACTTCTTTTTCTTCCTTACAAGGTACCTAATCCAGGTACTGGACAACGTGGTAATTCTGGATTTGGTTCAACACTTAATTCTATAGGACTTCTTCCGTCTATTAATTCTTTTAGACCACTTCTTACTTTATATCTTAATAAACAACCTTTTCAAGGTCTACTAGACACAGGTGCCGATGTTACTGTCATCTCCCTTTTACAGTGGCCTGTGCAATGGCCTAAACGTGATGTTAATTCCTTATGGGGCATTGGTGGGTCTACAACTGCTTGGCAAAGCATTCATCCCATAGTCATCA